GCCGGACGTTTTTGCGGTGTTTTATTGGATTTGTTTATTTTTGTTTGGACTCGAGCCGATTGAAGTGAGCTTAGAAAGTTCGGCGCGACGTCTTCGTCTTTTATCGTGTGTTAATATTTTTTTATGGTAAATGATATTGAAAACTCAATGCACTCGATTCGATAAAGAAGAGAAAAAATCATAAACTCATTAGCTCTGAAATATACTTAAGAAAGCTTAAAGATAAGAGACGTTCGTGGGGCGGAGTAGAACAAAAGACAATTTATAATATATTTTAAGACATATTAGCTTAGAAGATAATACTAATATGTCTTAAGGTCAACCTGCGTCAACAAATTACTGTTTTAATTAATGTGTATTTAGTACCTACTACCTACTAATGAGATAATTACTAAAAAATAATCTTTTACTCGATGTTACAAATATTTTCAGTATAATGTCAATAACAAAAAATCAAATTTAAAATTTCGATTAGTATTTTATTATTTGTTTTGTTCTTGGTGTGGGTGTTTCGTCATACATACATAAATACTGCCGCTTAACTTGCGTAGTTGCAGTAGCGTTTAATGGTACATTACAGTAGCTTATTATAACCCGACCGCGTTTATTTGATATATTATCACTGTCATCTCTGCTGAAACTAGCGACCAATGCGTATTAACTGGGTAAACATCATTCTTTTACGTTGTGTGGCACAAGTTAGGAGGGAGAGCTGCAATTTTATGATAAAGTACTGAATCTCGCGTACACTCTAAGAAGCACTACAATAAGGTAATAGCATAATTGTTAATAGCAATAAAGCAGTTTAGGCAAAACGCAAACGGAGAAATATATTTTTTTATTGTAATGTTTTTAAATTTTGCTATATTAGTTCAAGTTTGATTGGTGTAATTCTAAGTTCTAGCAATTTACAGCTTACATAATTTAATTGTGTAATTCCAAAATAAACATTAATTTAGGTCTATTCAAATAACAAGCAAAGAATCTTAAACAATATCTTTTTGCAAGTATTTTTAGGAACTGACTGATAGAATATTTTTTGTTGATAATTGAACGTATGATTTAAATTTATAATCAATCTTGTTTTAATATCTGTTATTTATAAAATATAACATTAAGTAGGTTTCCGTCTCAGTTATACTCTGTGTGACTGGACTGACAATAGACCGGTCAGAATTATTCAAGTCGTTTGAATCAATCTGATTGGTTAGAATTTACCGCACTTAGAAATTTATCCTTCTATCTAGTTTTAGTTGTGTATGTGAATAATTCTTTTTAATAAGGAAATTTTAATTTATAATTATCATTTTATGTTTAAAATAAACTTTATTAGAAACCAAACAAATATAACTGAAAATAAGATTTAATTTTTCAAAAAGCTCGTTACTTAAACCAAAATCGATAAGACCAGTTCTCTATTATTCTATTAAAATATGAAGTCAGTTTACAGTATCTGGTACTTAATCATAGGTAGCGGTCGATTTGAAATTCCTACTTGCCGCATGACACAAACAGACAGACAGAACCAAACCACCGTTCTTAGTTGATGTTTGTATTGATAACATTTAATGCAGCGGCACGTCTCATAGTACTGGTAACTATCAAGTTTTATCAGTAAACATTGTTTGAATGTTTATGGAACATCGCATGAAAGAATTAATATACTTGTAGTTCATGGTATCATATATCACAATCACTTAATCTTCATCAAGCTGGTGCACTCTAAGGTTGCACCCAAATCTGAAACAATAAAAGTACCACATTACCCAGACCTGAGAAAATAATTAGTCGGGATATTTTAAATAATATAAATTGATTAGCTCAAAACAATTAACTTTTGTTATGGAAATACTTATTTTAAGCAGACGTAGTTACAAAGCTCATTTACTATTGTCAGAGATAACATACTGATTTAATAGTATTGCTTAATCTATTCAGTGGTTGTATTTAAGTTAAACTCGCTATCATAACTTCACAACTGAGGTTGCACGTCTGGGTTCTACTATTGAAAGGAAACATAATATTCCTTCCATTTTCATCGTTCATATTTCAAATTTATTATCAGCACAGCGATTCCATAAAAATCCGAACACATATTCGAATTCACTTCGAAAACGAATCCGCGAAAACTTATATTAGTGTACAAATTCTATAGATACCATTTTTTATATAAAATATATATATATATATCACTTGATTCGTAGCTCACATCACTTATGCCACAAAACGTTAATACCAATTCCAGGTCCCCTCGTCTGACAAAATGCCATTTCGTGGCATCGTTATTTTATGCGGACGTCTGTCACGGAGCTGAACTGAATTGTACCACTAAGATAGGAATATCATTTTTCTAAGAAAGCTATTATTTATTTTAAAAATATGATATGTAGTTTAACATATAAATTAACTTTATTGCTGACAATATAAGTAACAAGAACAGCTTATCTTTGTTAAATATACTTTATCCATATTTAATAATCTCAACAACCATTTTAAAAGTTACTCGAAATATAAAACGTCGATTTATCATCTGAAAGGTTTTATTTAAGGTGGTCGTAGTCGCGTTCCTCTCTTTGGTCATCAATGAACTGAATAATATAATAATTTTCCTACGGGATTTCCTTTTCGTACTCTCGTCGTCCACGAACGAAAATTTGGAAAATTTAACTGTCAGGTCCTACTTCTGATAAATTATCGGAAAATGGGTTTATTTCATGTCTTATTAGATTTCGAAAATAGACAAAATTTTGGTTTTCAGAGAAAAGGCCTCGAGTTTCCTTTAATAAATGCGACATATTGGCGATCTGCTTCAGTAAGTTATCAACAAAAAATATTATCAATTTTCAATTAATGTTGTACAAATCAATAACCTCCAAATAACATGTAATTAAACTTATAAAACTAAAGTTTTGTTACAGTCAAAATGTGTATTTATAAATTTTTCAAGATAAAAATACGTCATATTTCCTTTTATTCTCGTAATAAAATCTTTTTAGATAGAAAATTGACAAAAGTGGGCCATTTTATGGCTGATGTCTCTACAAAGAACCTTTACAATAGTTATATTAATCAACTAGTCACTAGCGAAAATTATATCCACACTCAACTACCTGTGATTTTCTTGAGTGAAAGAATTGTTATGAGCGGATCAAACAATACAAACAAACAAAGTTAGTAACATAACCTCTATATAATATTATTATTGATAATAGTTTTCTTTAGATATAATGATATTTCCTCTTTTCAAATTACAATTTTCGCTGTTATACTCAATCAATTTACTATATGTGATTTGAAACCATGGTGTAAGCCCCGAATGAACATCGTTAAAGTGAAGAATGGTCTCTTCTCAAAGCTGCGCCGATTGTGGTGTGAACTGTGCCGCGGTTGCGTTGCGTATGCGCAATTGTATCGACGTTTAATGTATGCTAAGGAGAAAATTGATCATCATAAAATATTATATGAGAACTAAACTTTTGAAACGCTAGAATAAAAAAAACATACTATTTCTTTAAACCATATTAATATCACAGAAGATAGAAGAAATAAAAAAAATAACTCTGTATTTTTATATCTGTTTCGTTTTCACACCTCGACCCAACTTCAACCACTAAATCATATTTCACCAAATTTGATACACAGATAAAGTTTTTATGAGAAAATAAAAATTCCACGTGCATAAAGCCGCGGAAGGAGGGTTAGTGACCTTTTATTACTTTTTGAAGTAAGTTTTATTTAATTAAACCTCTATGCTGTGAGAGTGCTGTGCTCGACGTCGAGGTCTATGCTAATTTTTTTTTTAAGAATACCATTGCTTGCGTGATGATATAGGATATAGTATTTTTTATTTTTTATAGAGACAATTTATCATTTCGCATTTGAACTGTTACAAAATTCTTAGAAATAATAAATGAACCATCGCTAGGAACATATCTGATCTCCCGTCAGATTCGCATCGAGCCAAAGTTCTTACAATTTAAATTTAGAAGCAATATAAGCCCTTTGTACAAAGCCTCAAGCTATATTAAACTAAGCTAGCAATGCGAACAAAGACCTAGATAGAAACTGGAGTAACAACATGTTAGGTTTATATTTCAATCCCGGGGTCTGTGTTTACCGATCTAACGCTCACTTAGGTAGCTGGGATTGGACGGAGCTATAATTTTTAAATGTAACCATGCCAGTATGGTTTAATAAATACGGATGACGACAAACTTTTTTTTTATTGTCCGTCAGGTAGGTTGTTCAAAAATGTTAGACATGTATTTTTTAATTTTTAGGTAATCATTAAATTTCAGCGTTATAAGAGTTAAAACGTCACATGACGTCAGTGACGTAGCAAGCTCCACTCTTCAACTTTAATGCCTATTATATAGGCCATTTTTTGTTAAAATAAAAAAAAATCGTATCTAATATTTTTCTATTATCTGACTGATGGACTAAATAGTTTTTTTTAACCCAGTACTCATCCTTATAATGGGATCTTAAAGTATAGATTTATATTCTAAGAATTGTATTGAGGATAGGAAATATTAGACATGAAACTATAGTATATAGAGTGTGTCAGAACCGGATATATGATTATTTAAGAAACTTAGTAAGGTACTCATAGTTTGTTTTCTACATTTACCGAACCGGAAAGCAAACAAAGCAACAAGAGTTTACACACCCGCGGAGGTAGTAGCTGAAAAAAAATATCCACATAAAATCGATAATATCCGATTCAAAATTAGTTTATTTGATTAGAGATTTTTTGACTTCAATCTTATAAATGTTAATTTTGTGTTAGCCAGAAATTGTTTCGCAACAGCGCCCTCTAGAGAGCATAAATTAAGAAACTAAAAAAATAGGCGGCTAGCCCTTCAATTAAAGGGCTAGCCGACCAATTGGTTGGCTGATTATATTATTTGGCTGCGACTATAGTTCAATAAGTTCAATAACTAAATCGCACTCTAAAAAGTTTTTTCTTTACTTTTTCAATAATAATTGTATTGTTTCAGATACTATCTAAGAATACCTACCTACATAAAATCGAGAAATCCACATGAAAATTAAAGTGAGTTGCATGTTTTTTATTATTATAAATAATTATAGCATATCAAAGATTTAAAACCTAATTGATCCAAGTATCAATTTCTTTGATAACAAATTATATTTATCTCTGGAAAGAGCTAAATTCGCTAATTTCAAATATGTGTCAAGATTGCAAAGATTTAAAGAAATCAAGACCACTACTGGGAAGTATTCGAAATATTAAATTCAGTAATTTAATTCATCATTATCAACACATAGTATAAAACAAAGTCGCTTTCTCTGTCCCTATATCCCTATGTATGCTTAAATCTTTAAAGCTACGCAACAGATTTTGATGCGGTTTGTTTTCTAAGATAGGATGATTAAAAAGGAAGGTTTTTATGAATAAGACCACGCTGGTGAAGCCACTGGCGAAAAGCTGGTAAGGTAAATATAGTAAGGAATTTTGTATTTAGTTTGAGAACGATTTTTCCTAAAAAGTGTGTCATTGTACGTTTAGAAAATTATCGCGTTAAAAAAATACAATGTGAGGTTACATTAACCTACTGTATTCAACTTTGTAAAATTCTCAACTTTTCGATTTTTTTCTCATAATCGTAACTGTGTGAGTCACTTTGTAGTCGTTAGTTGCAATACTTTTACAATAATCGTAATGGTTTGCGAGTTATTAATCAAAAACAATTTAACGCACAATAAGTCTGTCCCTATCTATCTCATTATCATAAAAAGATAGATAGTTTTAAGTTCCGTTACGTAAATCAAATGCCTTCCGTGTGCAACTGAACTGTCACAATCAAATATGCGAGTTACAAACTCTACACGTTATCAGCCCACCGTGTCTATTAGATTCGTATATTCTCTCTTCAAGCTCCTAGACTGTACCAATAAACAATCAAAGGCCTGAATAAACTATTGAGTATATAGAGACAATTACAGCTTTATCCCATAGCCATAAAGATGCTATTCCTTTACAGATAGCTTTAGAATGTATGTTACAATCATGCGGTAGGTCCAATAACATGATTATAATCATGTCGTTTGATTAAATGGGAAACGTGAGAATCTGTTCTAGATTATTCAAAGAAATAACCCCCCCGATCGATAATCCTGGCCATTGGGAATGTTCATTATAATTCATAAGATGTACAGATTATAAAATAATGATGAAACGAATTTGAAAACGGAACGATATATGAGGCAGTTTATTGTTTGTTTTTTCTTTTCATTACAAAACTTTTTCATGTAGGTTTAGTTTGGAGTTCTTATTTTAAAAACAAAATAAACTATGCTCATTTTGAAAAGAAATGACGACTCATTACGCTTTATTCGAAATAAATGAGAATGAAAGTGAAAGAAATAAAAGGCCGGCACGCATAATTAATATGTTGAGTGACGTTTCAATAAAAGTAATAAAGGTAATATTATTAACTACCGCGACTACGTCTGAGTGTTTGAGATCATTATTTGTTAATTAAAAATTAATATATAAAGTTTTTGTAGTAGCTTTTAAACTTTTTCATTTATAATAGCTTAAAGGAACAAAGGTATAATGTCTTATTTGTATGTATACAATTAAAGTGTCAATAAGTCGAGAACACAAATACAATCTAATACTCTTCTGAATGTTCAATAATAATAATAATAATAATAATCATTTTATTTGCTTGAAAACATGGTACATAAGGTTCTCATGGTATTATTAAAGTTCAACATGTTTTTGCTTTTATTAACAGCATGCAAATCTTCTTAAAATTAATTAAATGTCATAATTGTCAAAAATTTAATTATACGTTATAGAAATTATTTATAATGCGAGCACAATCTTACTTAAATATATACAATATTAATATTAAATTATACATATTATATTGATTGTATATCATTATCAAAAAAATATTCATTAATATTATAATAACATTTATCTACTAATAGTTTCGTCAATGCATTTTTAAATTTAATAATATTGTAATGTTTAATTTGTTCAGGAAGCTTGTTATACAATCTAGGAGCCATTTCAATGACACTTCTTTTCATGAGAGCTGTTTTACAAATACTTGTACAGATCTGAGGTTTCCGAGGACGAAGTGTGTATTGATTCTGTTGTTCCTTAATTTTGAATAGCTCTGCATTTTTCTTTACAAAATTCTAATACATACAAGCATGGTAAAGTTAATATATTCAAAGACCTAAAATATGGCTTGCAGCTCTCCGTTTTCTTCAATCCACAAATTGCTCTAATACATTGTTTTTGGGCCCTCAACAATACTTCTCTGTAAAATTGACGCCACGAAACCATGATACGCCGTTAGTACAGTTTTTTGGTCAGCTATTTTTGATAATTTGTACAATGCAAATGAAAACTTATATAATTTCTGGCATACCTCAGTGGAGTGCGATTCCCATGACATATTACTATCTATTAAAATACCTAGAAATTTAGCAACTTTAGTTTCATTAATCATTTTGTTATTATAACTAACAGATAAATTTGGAGTATACTTCCGCTGTGTAAATTGCATCAAATTGGTTTTATCTAGATTTATTTTTAATTTGTTTAACTCGAGCCATTTAATAATATTTCTGATAGCTGTGTTAATATGGTATTCATAACTTGCAATATTTTCACATTTTATAAATACGGTGCTATCGTCTGCATACAATATCATTGGAAATGTAGTAATGTTAACTATGTCATTAATGTATGCAATGAACAATAAAGGACCCAAAACACTTCCCTGCGGAACACCACATCTGACTGACCTAATAGGGGATCTGTAAGTTATTTCCTGCTTAGAATACATACAAATTTGTGCTATTTCAGTATATTGAAGTCTATCTTGCAAATATGATTTTATTAAGTTTAGCGCATTCCCTCGAATACCATAACGATCTAATTTTTCTAATAAAATGCTGTGATCAACAAGGTCAAACGCATTTTTCATGTCCATGTAAATAGCACATGAAGGTACTCGTTTATCTAGACATAGAATAGATCTTTTCACTAAATCATAGATAGCTGTATTTATAGTAGTATTTTTACGAAACCCTTTTTGCTCATTTGCTAGTATATTATGTTTTTCAAGGAACTCATAAAGTTGACTATGAAAAATTTTTTCAAAGATTTTTGAAAAGACTGATAACAAAGCTACTGGCCGATAGTTATTTGCAATTTCTTTATCACCCTTTTTAAAAAGTGGTTTTATGACTGTTATTTTTAAGTTGTTGGGGAATATGCCTGCTGTAAGACATAAATTTATGATATGGCTCAATGGTTGTGCGATTAAATGACCAACATACTTTACTACTTTTGTGGAAATATCGTCAAACCCAACACTATTTGTATTTTTCAAAGATAATATTATTTCTAAAACCGTATCAGCTGTCGTAGGACCTAGAAATACAGATTTTAAATTAGTATTTATGTGAGTAAGTTTGTGTATATTTAAATTATTACTGTCATCATTATTTTCATTAACATTTTCAATTTGAGTAAAATTAGAGTCATTAGTTTTAGTTGTATCTACGAAATAGTCATTAAATGCTTTTGCAATGTCAATAGGTCTAGTTAGGCATTCATTATGTAGTCGTAATTTTAATACGGGTTCTTTAGGCATAACATTCTTAGAATTTTTAATTATTTTCCAGGTAGCTCTTGTTTTGTTTTTTGAGTTTTTTATAAAGTGGTTATTTTTTACGCGCTGTGTTTGTTTAATTATATTTTTTAACCTTCTACTATATAATGTATAAGCAATCTTATTATCGTTATTTTTGCTCAACCTAGAACGCCAAAGTAACTGTCTTTTTTTTCTACAGCAAACCCTAAGCCCTTTTGACATCCACTTTCGTGTGGAGTTTATTGTCATTTTTATAATTTTGTAAGGAAAACATAGATCATACAAGCATTTAAATATATCAAAAAATTTGTCATACGTTATGTTCGGGTCTGTGGAAGATAATATGTCATGAAAGGTTAAACTAGCAATATAACTCCTAAATTTGTCAAGATTTTCTCTACTTAAGTCTCTTCGTTTAATACTCCATGAATTAATTGTACAAGTCTTTTTCACAGGGCATTTAAGAAGCTGTGCTGTATGGTCAGAGAGACTTAGCTCGATGACTTCGCCTCTAGCTCCTCTAACATTGTGAGCAAAGTTGTCCAGGCATGTTCCACTTTTTTTTCTTGTTGGCTCTTTGATTGCAAGTTTTAAATTGTAACATAACAATCGATTCTGAAATTCTCGGGTTGTAGAAGATTTTTTCAATATATTTATATTAAAATCACCACATATGACAATTTTCTTCCCATTTTTATTTACAATCGCATTTAAACTAGTCTCGAGAGTGTCATAAAATATATTTAAACTGGATTTCTTTGTATTTGGTACTCTGTATATACAAATGACAATGAGATTATGATCACATATTTCTACAGCACAAATCTCTACCACAGATTGAATTGAGCATCTCTTAATATTATCAATTACTTTATATTTCAGACCAGATTTTACTAAAATACAAGAGCCACCTCGCCTTTTGTCTCTTGAAAAACTTGCTGCTAGTGTGAAATTTGGTATAGTTAAGAACTCCTCTAAAGCAGTAACCATATTATGCTCTGTTACACATAAAATATCCACAAACTTTTGTTGTCTTTTAAGATCTTCCAAATGTAATGCCAGTTCGTCACTTTTGCTATGTAATCCTGCTATATTCTGATGCAATATATTCAAATAATTATAAAAGAAAAAACTGAGCTTTTTGTGAGTTCTCGCATCGATGGTCAAACGTATAATCAATCTTATTTTCTGCGTTTTCTGCTTGCTTTGACAAAATTACTTTTGCAATATTTTGAAGAACATTCTGAACGCCATAACGATTTAACTTTCCAGTAAACTGTGAAAACATATCAAATGTCAAATCATAATTGGAGTCTATTAGATAACAATATTTGTTTCTGTTTACATCTTTATAAATTAAGTTGTTGAAGATTTCCACTCTATAATTATAGAGTGGTTTGCCACATAT